CAGGTGCGTGTGGGGGGGGAGGGGGGGGTGGGTGGGTGGGTGGGTGGGTGGGTCTCATGTGTCCCTCATATCTTAGCAGGCTGAAGGTTTTCAACGCTGCTTTTGAGGAGCAGTACAACAAGCAGGTGCGTGTGGGGGGGGAGGGGGGGGGGGGGTGGGTGGGTGGGTGGGTGGGTCTCATGTGTCCCTCATATCTTAGCAGGCTGAAGGTTTTCAACGCTGCTTTTGAGGAGCAGTACAACAAGCAGGTGCGTGTGGGGGGGGAGGGGGGGGGGGGGTGGGTGGGTGGGTGGGTGGGTCTCATGTGTCCCTCATATCTTAGCAGGCTGAAGGTTTTCAACGCTGCTTTTGAGGAGCAGTACAACAAGCAGGTGCGTGTGGGGGGGGAGGGGGGGGGTGGGTGGGTGGGTGGGTGGGTGGGTCTCATGTGTCCCTCATATCTTAGCAGGCTGAAGGTGTTCAATGCTGCGTTTGAGGAGCAGTACAACAAGCAGGTGCGTGTGGGGGGGGAGGGGGGGGGGGGGGTGGGTGGGTGGGTGGGTGGGTCTCATGTGTCCCTCATATCTTAGCAGGCTGAAGGTTTTCAACGCTGCTTTTGAGGAGCAGTACAACAAGCAGGTGCGTGTGGGGGGGGAGGGGGGGGGTGGGTGGGTCTCATGTGTCCCTCATATCTTAGCAGGCTGAAGGTTTTCAACGCTGCTTTTGAGGAGCAGTACAACAAGCAGGTGCGTGTGGGGGGGGAGGGGGGGGGGGGGGTGGGTGGGTGGGTGGGTGGGTCTCATGTGTCCCTCATATCTTAGCAGGCTGAAGGTTTTCAACGCTGCTTTTGAGGAGCAGTACAACAAGCAGGTGCGTGTGGGGGGGGAGGGGGGGGGGGGGTGGGTGGGTGGGTGGGTGGGTCTCATGTGTCCCTCATATCTTAGCAGGCTGAAGGTTTTCAACGCTGCTTTTGAGGAGCAGTACAACAAGCAGGTGCGTGTGGGGGGGGAGGGGGGGGGGGGGGTGGGTGGGTCTCATGTGTCCCTCATATCTTAGCAGGCTGAAGTTTTTCAACGCTGCTTTTGAGGAGCAGTACAACAAGCAGGTGCGTGGGTGTAAGAAAGGCTACGGATCACCTGGGTCCCTGTGAGACTGCGGTAACATTGTCACCGCATCCATGCGCAGCAGACATTGAAAGCAACCTTACGTGTGTGTGCTAAGCAGTCTTAGAAGCAATGTGCACCTCGCCATTGTGCCGCACATGCTGCTTCTCTTCTCTGCACCACCAGGAGAGGTTGACCTTAGGAGGAGGGAGTTGCAAATCATATGTCTTGTCTTGCCTTCCCCTCTCCTCTTCCTCTCCCTCTCCTCTCCTCGCCCCCACCAGCTCACATGGACTATACCAGCTCACATGGACTATACCAGCTCACATGGACTATACCAGACGCGGAGCTACAGAAGGTGGTGCGCCAGGCTGTCATTGCAAGGCGCTGGAACACACTTACTTCCTTCCCTGTCCCTAACCGCCTTTTCTGTCACCAGCTCACATGGACCATCCCGGACGCGGAGCTACAGAAGGTGGTGTTGCCAGGCTGTCATCGACCAGGTGCAGTGATGCACTAACACCCCCCCCTCAAACCCACCCCCATTCCCATCCTCCCGCACCTCCCCCTTGCTGCCCCCTCTATCTCAGCTCACGTGGACCATCCCAGACGCGGAGCTACAGAAGGTGGTGCGCCAGTCTGTCATCGACCAGGTGCTGCCTGCCTACCGCGACATGCTCAAGCGCTACGGGTGAGCGGTCTCAGGGGTCCTGTGCGGTGCTGAGGGGTGCTTGGGGTAATGAGGGGTTCTGATGGGACTCTTATGCTTCTAAAAGGTGGTAATGGCAGTCATCGACCAGGTGCTGCCTGCCTACCGCAACATGCTCCGCTGCTACGAGTGAGGGGTGCTCAGGGGTGCTGAGCGGTGGTGAGGGATGGCCTGTGATGCTGTTGTTGCTGCTACAAAGCAAAGGTAATTGCAGTCGCAAGGGTGATTGATCCTCACCGCCTTCACACGATGTTGCATCTTTGTCATGCTTCAAGAAAATTGTCCATTGTATTATGCCAACACCATCTCTGATGGACGCATTTGAAATCTCACCGAGCACTTCAAACACCACCTGGTCACTCTACCTCACTCCCCTCCCCTCCCCTCCCCTCTCGTCTCCCCAATCCCCCCCCCTCTCCACCCTTTACCCCCCCTCCTTTCCCCCCCTTCCTCTAACCCCAGCCCGGTGGTAGACGCATTGAAGAACCTCTCAAAGCATGTCAAGTACCAGCCGGAGGACATCGAGACGAGTTCCGAGTCGACTCAAAACCTCCCCAACCCCTCTCTTCCCCCCCCCCCTCCCCCCCCCCCCCTCCCCCCCCCCCCTTTCCTCCTCCCCCTCTCCCATCAGCCCGGTGGTGGACGCATTGAAAAATCTCTCAAAGCACGTCAAGTATCAGCCGGAGGACATCGAGCGGCTAATTCGGCAGCTCTTTGAGGGCCGCCAGGTGGTTGGCGAGGCCAGCAAGGGCAAGGCGTCGCTGCTCAAGTAGACACGTTGGGTTGGGACATGTTTGTGTCTGGTATTTGTTGGAAGTTATTGAGGGCGTGTGTGTAAAGGCTTTTGGAATACGTTGATTTTGGTATGAAATGTTTATATGATGGTTGAAGTAGATCTCCATTTTGTTTTCAGAGTGTTCGTACCGTCTTCATCCTATTTCAAACCAAAAGGCATGGTTTTGCGTAGAAACAGGTGACACTATGTAAGAGATCTCACTTTTTGTCCTCTGATCTGGCATGAGGTTTTTCATTCGCCAAAATAAATCCCCAGTGCCACCGTGGTGATGGCCATTGGTGATCAAACTCCTTTCCATCCTCGGGCAGCCATTTGCAGCCGACCTGATTGAATGGCTCACCGAAGCTACAGTATTTCGCCGCCAGTAGGGCGGTGCGGTGTGCCCTCACCCTGTTCGCGACTCGATCCCTAGGCTGGTTTGGCTTTCCAGCCTCTGGTCTCTGGAAGGTTCCGAACCTGTAACTTTTCACGTTTCACCTGACCCAAACCACTTGTCAGCACGGCCAAACCTCGTTCAGTCGTAGAGCTGCTCCCCCATGAGGTATGACTTTTGCGGGGTGTCTAGGCTTTAAATCCACTTAACAAACTCACATATAAATTTTTCTACAGCGTTCTGGATCTCCTAGCACCAGCCTCCATACCTCTGGTATCTGCTTCAGGAAACAGTTCCACCCGCATCACAATCGGGCAAATGCAAATTGAATGCTGCTCCATCCACCAATCGTTGCACCTCGTTCGGAACGTTTTCCGCCTCAATTGCGCCCCGCGCCTAAGATCCCAAACTCACCCCTCCCCCCATTCTCCAACCTCCCACCCTCCCACCCCATCCCCGCAACTCTCCTCACAACCCCGCCTCCAGCAATTTCGGCTGTGTGAATTTCGGCTGTGTGTTGTGTGCTGCTGTGTGGATGATGAGCATCAGTGGCAATGGCAGCAGGACCCACTTTTCCCGAAAAAACGTCTTTGTGGTTCCCAAATCCTAAAAAGCGACGCTTCGACACCCTCCCGCGCCACTTTTTAAGATGAGAGTCTGCTTATCAAGCGCCTGTCCGAACACTCTTGCTTCGAGCAAGTTGCGACCTTGCTGTTCCGGGACTCAATCGGCGCAGATTGACGACCAGGTTGAGCGAGAATCGCCCACGCTTCGAGCTTCAGAGTCTTCGGAACGAAGGGGGGGCTTTCTCAAAAAACACAACTGGCTTCACTTAGCTGCTTTGTTATCGAGCTACCATATTTCATCATACTAAGGTCTCGGCGACGCGTCGTCATGACGTCAGCGACGGGAAGACGGTCATCGAAGGTCGTCGTTGGTGCTGCCTTCCTGCTGCTTCTCCTCGCCAGCTCCTTCTCCCCCCTCGCGGTCGCGGTGAGCCGAAAGGACGTGCGGGTCGCGCTGCAGAAGATTCGGCGAAACCCGCGCCTCCAGCGTTTGAACTTCAAAGAGTTCTTTCAAAAGTTCGGTAAGTATTAGCGTTTCGCTTACGTCTACCCACGGCGAACTCGCCTTTTTAATAGACTCTCAGAAGGGTTTCTTCATGCGCATCCGCGGTGGCGCCGTACTATGAGAAGCAGACTTCAGGATTCGTCGTGGCAAGGTGTGACGTGGCACCGCCAAAGAAGGAGAAAGCACCCCGCGAATGTCGCTGTCACACCGCCAGGGCGCTAGCTCCCGTCTAGTACGTGCTAGTGTACCGCCACGCGTCCATGTACCGCCACGTGTACCGCTTAGGGCGGGCGGGTTACCGTGTAGCGTTACGTGTACCGTGTAGCGTTACGTGTACCGTGTACCGTCACGCGTACCGCGTAAGGGCGTGCGGGTGTACCGTGTAGCGTCACGTGGACGTGACAGTCACATACTGAACGCTGTGCTGGTAGTGCCGCATCCGCCCAGTCGCTCCGAACAGCAAAGTTCCTCGCGAGGTCGTTCGCGCGGTCGCTCTGCAGCAGCGAAGCACAAGAAGAATCCACGTCGCTTCAATCCACCGACAACTTGCGCCGCCGCCTCCCAGCCCCCAACGCCCCGCTCCCCTAATCTCCCTTTCGCATTCCGCTCGTTTCCCGTTTAAGTTCCCCCCATTCTCCCTTCGCTCGTGTTTCCCGTTTAAGTTCCCCCCATTCTCCCTTCGCTCGTGCTCCCCGGCCCCATCACGCTCTTCCTCCCCACCGACCCCTACACCATGTACACGGCCTACTCTGCTGGCTACACCCCTCAAGACTTCGCCACTCTTATTCAAAACGCCATAACACCCATCTGATCTTCTCCCTCTCCCGCTCTCGTCCCCCCCTCGGCAGTGCTTCTAGCCATCAACCAGAAGGGCCCCATCACGCTCTTCCTCCCCACCGACCCCTACACAACACGTCCTACTCAAATATTTACACCCTTCTAGACTTTGCGACTCTTGGCTAAAACAACATGATCCCTCTGTCTCTTTCCTTCCCCCGCCACCCTCTCCCTCTTGCAGTGCTGCTGGCCATCAACCAGAAGGGCCCCATCACGCTTTTCCTCCCCACCGACCCCTACACCATGTACACAGCCTACTCTGCGGGCTACACCGCCCAGGACTTTGCCATGCTCGGCAAAAACAACATGATCCCTGAGCACCATCCCTACAAGGACTTTGTGCATGACTCTGCAGGTACGACATACACCACAGTGCTGGGCGAGAAGGTGAAGAAGTGGAATGGAAAACGCACCAAGCTGGTGGCTTTCAAGGCGGCTAAGGGCCTGCCCAGCCTTGTTACATGGCCCAACATGTTCCAAGGGGATACGCTTGTCATTCACCTCGTGTCTCTGGCTTTGATTCCCTCATCCATGTGATACGACGTAAAACAAATTTGTCTGTCTATGTATTTTATTGTAGCTGTGTGTAGCATGAATGTCATACTAAAATGTGAGATGATGAATGGCCAAGACCAGGTTGTTGCCCACGGGGCTTACACATGGGAAGGAAGGATATTCCATAAAAACATCCTACAGGCGCAAACTGCTCTCTAGTGGCAGCCCCAACTTCCAGTCTGGTTAGAGGGCTCTGTTATCAGTGTGATTTACACTGCTACACTGATTAGAAGGGTGAATTTTAGGGCCTGCACTGATGGGTTTGGGTATTTTTTTGGGGGATTAGTGTTACACTGTGCTGATATAACCAAAGGATCAAGTAGATAAGATAAGATCTGTTAAGTCTGAGAGGAGACAACGGAGTCTCTGTGGTGACCTTGTTGGTAAATTGAACGAGAACAAGATGATTATAAGATAGGAATACAAGAGATTAAATAGCAAACTAGCTAGCCATGTACTCTGAGGGGTACCGCATGGCCCCGGATATAAGCGCAGGCCTATGTTAAGCGCATGCGCTTGTACCGTATCTGGAGCAATACGCTTATGGCCGATCCTCAATTATAAGCGCACCCCTTATAAAACCCTGATTTATTATAAGTGTCAGAACATGTGTGACAAGGTCCCCTACCGCACTCCGTCCCTTCCCCCACCCCCGCTCTTCTTGGTACCAGGTCCCCCCCCCGGTAGGACCCCTCCCCCCTCAGGGTCCTGCCCCTTCAGGTGTGTCCCAGGTAGACGCGGTCGAGCCTGTCGAGGTCACTGGTGACTCTGGTGCTGCTGCGGGTGCTGAGCCTGGGGGTGCTGAGCCTGGGGGTGCTGAGCCTGGGGGTGCTGAGCCTGGGGGTGCGGAGTCTGGGGGTGCGGAGTCTGGGGGTGCTGAGCCTGGGGGTGCTGAGCCTGGGGGTGCTGAGCCTGGGGGTGCGGAGTCTGGGGGTGCTGAGCCTGGGGGTGCTGAGCTTGGGGGTGCTGTGCCTGGGGGTGCTGTGCCTGGAGGTGCTTCGTCTCGCCGTGAGCCACTCTCCCCACAGGAGCTGCGTGAGTGGTTTGCAAGGCGCTGGAGGCGTGCTGCTGGTGCTGGAGCTTCTTCGCCTGCAGAGGGTGCCACTGCCGCGGGTCCCGGAGGTGCTCGTCTTGGGGGTACTGGAGCTGCTGGGTCTGAGGGTTCTCCTGGAGCTGGTGCTGCTGAGGGTGTTGGCACTGGGACTGCCGCTGGCGGTCCGCCTGGCAGTGCTCCTGATGGTGCTGCTGGAGGTTCTGGAGCTACTGGAGGTGCTGCTGGAGGTGCTGCTGGAGCGGGTACTCCTGCTGGGGGTACTGGTGCTGTCCCTGCTGTTTCTGGCGTCGCCGCGCGGCCCCGACCGTACTTCGTTCCGCTCCTGCAGCAGGTTCTTGGTCTTACACCTTCTCCTGGTCCTCCTCCTCCTCCCTTAGAGGGTCCGCGGCCTGTCCAGTCACAGCCACCGCTACAGCCTGCCTCCCCTTTGCCTGCTCCTTCTCCCTACGCTGGTCCGACTGGAGGTCTTACTGAGCGTCGTGAGCCTGCGTCTCGTCCTGCGTCGCCTGTTCGTACTGCGCGCGCTAGTGGTCGCGGGTCGCGTCAGCGTCCTCCTCCTGTCTCTGGCACGCACCGGATGTCACTACGTCCGTCCACTGCTCCTCTGCGTGCCCCTTTGCCTTCTCCTCCTGCTTCCTCTCTTCCTGCTCTTGCCGACCCGGAGTCGGACTCTCTTCGTGCTGCCAGTCCTACTGTCACGCGTCTCCTTGCTACTGCTGTCACTGACCCTTCCTTCGAGTCGTCTGCTGCGTCTGCCCTTGTCACTGAGCTTGTCGACTTTGCTGCGCGCTGTCGTCTAGACTACGCTGCCAGTCTTGTCGCTGAGTCTGAGTCTGCCTGTCCTCCGTCCGTCGGGGGTGAGTGTGCCCTTGGCACGGACGTCCTTGAGGACAGGCAGGAGGAGTTCCAGTGTCTGGCCGCCGCTTCACCTCATCTCGCGTCTGTACTACTAGCCCCTGAGGGAGACCCGGATGCACCAGACATCCCGACTCCGCGCTCTTACGCGGAGGCGATAGAGGGTCCCTACTCCTCTCAGTGGCAGGCAGCTATGGATGCAGAGATGGCTTCCTGGAAGTCCACAGGCACCTACGTTGACGCTGTTCCCCCTCCTGGGGCGAACATAGTTAGTGGCATGTGGATTTTCAGGGTGAAGCGGCCGCCGGGTTCTCCGCCTGTCTTCAAGGCGCGTTACGTGGCTCGTGGCTTCAGTCAGCGGCAGGGGGTTGACTACTTTCAGACCTTCTCCCCCACCCCGAAGATGACCACTTTCGGGTTCTACTGCACGTTGCTGCTCACCGTGACTACGAGCTCCACTCTCTCGACTTCAGCACCGCTTTCTTGCAGGGCAGCCTGCACGAGGAGATCTGGCTGCGTCGCCCACGTGGCTTCACTGGGTCTTTCCCTCCTGGTACCCAGTGGAGTCTCCGGCGTCCAGTCTACGGTCTCCGCCAGGCGCCACGTGAGTGGCACGACACACTGAGGACTACGCTCGCGGCACTTGGGTTTGCTCCTTCTACTGCCGACCCGTCGCAGTTTCTGCGCACCGACACCTCGCTGCCGCCGTTCTACATCCTCGTGTACGTCGACGACTTGGTCTTTGCCACAGCTGACACTGCTGGACTCGCCTATGTGAAGTCCGAGCTGCAGAAGAGACACACGTGCACTGACCTGGGTGAACTGCGTAGCTACCTTGGCTTGCAGATCACCCGGGACAGAGCACGCCGCACCATTACCCTGACTCAGTCACACATGGTGCAGCAGGTCCTTCAGCACTTCGGCTTCACGTACTCCTCGCCTCAGGCCACTCCTCTGCCTACTCGCCACTCGCTCTCAGCTCTGCCTTCGGATGAGTCCGTAGAGTCGAGTGGCCCGTTTGCAGAGCTTGTTGGCTGCCTCATGTACCTGATGACCTGCACACGACCTGACCTTGCATACCCTCTTAGCATTCTCGCACGCTATGTTGCTCCTGGGAGACACCGACCAGAGCACATGGCTGCAGCGAAGAGGGTGTTGCGCTACTTGTGCAGTACGTCGGGCATGGGGCTAGTGCTTGGAGGGCGCAGTCCAGTGGTCCTCACTGGGCACGCAGACGCTTCTTGGGCTGACGACCAGGCTACTCAGCGGTCGTCACAGGGTTACACCTTCAGCCTTGGTTCCGGCTCTGTTTTGTGGCGGGCTACCCGCTCGTCTTCTGTTCTCGGCTCCAGTTGTGAGGCTGAGATCTACGCTGGGGCTATGGCTGCACAGGAGTTACGCTGGCTCACCTACCTGCTGACCGACCTTGGAGAGCAGCCTCGTTCTCCTCCAGTCCTGTACGTAGACAACAAGGCCATGCTGGCCTTGTGTGGAGAGCAGCGACTGGAGCACAGAACGAAGCACATTGCTCTCCGCTACTTTCTTGCTCGTGAGCTACAGCAGCGTGGACAGTTGCGACTTGCGTACGTGGCCTCTGAGGCCAACACTGCTGATGTCTTCACCAAGGCACTTGCGCCTTGTGATCATCAGCGTTGTTGCACGCAGTTGGGTCTTGTGCCTGTCTTGCCTCACTTGCTCTCCTCTTGACCTTGCTTGTACCTTCGCCTATATATACTCTTGCTCTTGCTTGCTTGACTCTTGTATATCTCTATATATGATCTTGCATGTGAACTGGCCTTCTGGCCTTTGAACTTGTGCTCGGAATGCGTGGTGACTTTGTGATCCACCCTGAGCTTTGCTTTGCTTTGCTTGACAGGTCTTGTGACCCCTTGCTCTCCCCCACTTTGCCTATGGGGGTGTGTCAGAACATTATAGCTTACTTGTTTGTGTAGGCTATAGTGGGGTATCCCATAGGGGGTACAACCCAATTAGGGTTTCCTATTTGTACTCACTTCGTTCATAGTCATTCCATTCTCGTTCATATTTTCTCAATAAGCGCATGTATAAATATATTTCAAAAAAAACGGATTAAAACAGTAACGACTTCCCGTTTTGAAGCGAGTCCACATCCACTTCTACTCTGTTTGACTCCCTCGAGGGCGGGCTCGCTCAGGAAAAGCGCAACAGTGCGAAGTTGACCTGACAGGGGGGCTCGGGAACACCTGTTGTCTGTGCGCTGCGAGCGAGCGACAGCAGGCTATTGGTCGTACACTGGGGCAAGGCTGTGCGATGCGAACGAGCGACTGCAAGCTATTGGTTCGTACACTCTGCTGGGGCGAGCATGACACATTCATATGCGAAAGTGACGTGTCCTTGCCCCTGTGTGCCGGCAGAGAATCGCCCTCGCGCGATTTTGATTCAGAACGCTCCACACATTTCGATTTGAATGAAATTGCAAGACTCTAATGCACAGTTTGGTGCATTTATAACATATTTCTGTATTTGTTATTATATAAGCGCATGCGCTTATAATTTTGACTCATTTATAAGCGCACCCCCCTAAAAAACACTGTTTTATTATAAGCGCATATGCGCTTATATCCGGGGTATTACGGTACATTCCCTGACTGTATTACATAGCTACAGTAACCACGACTATTGCCATGCTCGACAGCAGGCCCTCAGATTGGTTTGAGGGTATGCTGATCGATCAGCGTGCCCCGGCCGCCCAGGTGCCCAAATCAGCGTGTCAGTAGATCTGCACTGTGGATGCCCGATTGATCCTGGAGAGGGTTACAGGCGCGTTCGCTTGGGGGGTTATGGGCGCACTGACTCGCTACTGAAACAAGCCCTTTTATCCCAATGGTCTAGTGGTTGGGATTCTAACATGGTATCAGAGCGATCTCGGGTTCGAATCCCGGTGTATGCACATGTAGGCCGGTGCCGCTGTGCTTAGTCCTGGGCCTCCCAGTGTGGGGGGGTGTCAGTAGATCTGCACTGTGGATGCCCAATTGATCCTGGAGAGGGTTACAGGCGCATTCGCCTGCGGGGTTATGGGCGCACTGACCCGCTACTGAAACAAGCCCTTTTATCCCGATGGTCTAGTGGTTGGGATTCTGACACAGCGTTCATGGTTTTTTTTATACTGATTTTGCCAGTATAAAAATCATAAGCAGACTGAACCATCAATGTAAAAAAGAAAAACAAAATTGAATCACCAATTCAACTCAAAGTTTGCCGCTGTGAGAGTTCCTTCCATCGATGCAAAGCACGTCGGCACGCGATCTGCTGTACAGCACATGGCATCTCCAAGTGTGTGGGTGGGGTCTCGTGAATCCCGGGCCAGGTACATACTATACACACGCGTAACCCCCTCCCCCCCCCCCCCCCCCCCCCAATCGGTCAAGTCCATTTCAGTGTGACTCACGACACTACACTGATTCGTCAGTGTTACTTCTACAGCAACACGGAAAATGGTCAGTGTGGCAAGGTAGTTTAAACTAAAAATTCAGTGCAAAATTGAAGCATATGCTGAATTTCCAGGGAAAACGAAAATCACAGCTACAAAATCAGCCTAATCAGCGTGTTTTACGCTGATATCTGAGGGCCTGCTCGATAGTTACCATGTTGCGGCGATCAACTGTCGTGCGGTTATGACAAAGTTTGAAGAAAGAAAGAGGAGTGAACTAGCAGAAATGGGGATACAAATAGCAAACCCTAGAAGGGTTGTACTCGCTATAGAGCACCCCACTACAGGCTAGAGCATAAGATAACATTCTGACACACCCCCATAGCCAAAGTGGGGTGTAATCAGCAGAGCAGGCAA